TAATTTTGTCTATGAGTACAGCTGCTAAACTACAAGGAAATAATCCTTGGATACATGTTTCTCAACTAAAACGACATAATCCATCTCCAATAGAAGACAAATGGAAAGTTACATCTATTAGAAATCTTGAAATGAAATGCTCCAGAGAACCTCTTCAAGTGGACAATCCATGGAAACTGATTGCAGACTCACGATCCCCACAACTTGAAGACATTCACATTGAAACAGATAGATTCTACTCAGAACCAGATGACTCTAGATGCATGGAACCACTGATTGCCTCATTCTCCTTCACACACTTTTGCTTTTTATTCTTTTAGTCTTTGTTTCCTTTTTACTAGATGAAGGTTACTCAACTTTGATTTTCAGTTTAATGTTACATTTACTAATATTAATGACCTGGACAGGGTTAGCCTATAATTTAAATATCCCAAGCTACTGCTAGTAGAAACAATTTAGAGAAGTATGGGATATGACAACAACTGGAAAAACCCAATTAATGGCCATACCTGCAATTAATACTTCTAAAATGCATTTTGATCAAGAATATTATAATCAAAAATTGTCTTAAATAGCTATAGATAAATATCTAGGATAGAGTTGTTACATCTTTATTTAAGTACCATTACTCCACCTAACCATATGATTCAGTTCAGTCTCAAAAGATATTTTCTCAATTTTCCATGTTTTCTTTTTTGAGATCCTATAAGTTGAATAACAAAGAGATCGACATTTGAAACCATGAATAATTCCTAAGAAAATAAAAAGAATTTCAACATTTTAAGTACAGAAAAAACTGAGACAGGGATTACACTAACCTTATCAACAATGCACCTTTTGTAAGCAACACATAAGGGAAACAAATGTCCTTGTACTGAAAGAGGAGGTACAAATATTCTTGAGATGTAACTGAGACTGTATGTCATGTCAAAATCCAGAGAAAATGAATTTTCAGCTCCACTAAAGTCGGTCACTCTCTTGGGGAGTGTCTAACTTCTTTGTCCTTGTGGCAAAGTTGTCTCTGGGGATGTCAGAGCATTCCAGTGTTTGACTGTCCAACATCCTTAGTGGACTACTTCTTCTTACAAAGAATTTGAAGTGAAAAAATATTCTTGAGAGTACACATTATAAATGGTGGCATGGACTCGACAATTGATGCTCTTACCAAAAGTAGATGAACATGTAGGATGGTCACGTTGTATTTATCCTTCAGTTTAGCTGACAAAGTAAATAGCAGACCAGAACTCCCCTCACCACCAAAAGAATCAGTTAAAATTACATAAAATTATATAATCCAACTAGTTATGAGTAATAGCATAGCCTTGATTTTTTTTTTTTTTTTGCCAACCACTACTAACCCTTCTTGTCTTAAAATAACCCTTCTTGTCTTTAAGATTAATATGAAGTAAGGTGGAACAATGCATATCAAACGAAGAAAAGATAATCTTAGTTCTGCTTCTGCATAGGATTTAAAAGCTGGAAGGAGCATGGCTTTCACCATAATTATGAGAAAAAGCTAGATAAAACTACAAAATCATAAATTTTTTGGAACTCGTTAGGGATCTGAGGCCACAGTACAACCACATAGCCTGAATTCCAAGAAAGGACAGGCTCTTCTGAGACAAGGAACAATACACAGACTGTCTCACCTGTGGCAGAGCATAGGAAGAGCAAGATGGCTTCCATATAAGCAGGTAAGAAGAAATCAGTTTAAATTTTATTAAATTGCTAAAGGTTGAATGTGAGCTAGCGTGACAATATAGAACCCCTGGGAGGGGTGACCAGACACAAGATTCTTTTCCATGAGCCTTCCCCATGTGCTAACATTAAATACTGGGGACAATCAGAAGACCAGCAAGTGCCTTCCATGGTTTCGCAAGGAACGTTTCTGTGGGAAAGGAATGAAACCCAACCCTTGTCTGGATTCTCTTCTCCTGTGGAGCAAAACCTGTAAGCTGCTGTGAGAGAGGCCACAAACTCTGCCACTCACAAGGCACAAGTAAAGACCCATTGTCACTGGGGAAAAGTAACATAAATAAAAGCCCTATACCCCTGGAGAGGGGTGGGAAATTGTCCTGAGCCCAGGATCCTATTCCAACACCAGTAAATGTATGCTAGCACTGGGGAGTGGGGCTGGTAGAGAATACTGTTCTATGTAATACCTGCCTTAGAGACAAGGCTCAGGTTGGCTGCTATGGGAAGAAGGGACAGGGATGCTGAGAAGGTCCCACCTCTAAGGCATATAGGGCCTGCCTAAGACTGAGGCCAAACCAGGACAAGAGAGAATTTGCCCTGCTCCCACACCATCAGCCTGAAAAACACCAAGCAACAAGCTTTTTCTTTCAGATATTAAGTATGGCTACTTCCTTAAACAAGTGTTCAAGAAATATCCAAGAAATATTCAAAATCCAAGAAATGGATTTTGGAAACTCATTTTTCTTACTTTCACGGCTTAGAACTTTTTCTCTGTCATACAATTGGAAATATTTTTAAACATTTTCAGGAAGTAATCCCGGTCTGGTTTTCTCATTTCTTTTAACCTCCATCAAGATTTCTCGTTCATCCAACAGAAATATCTTTATTCCACTCCAAATTCAGCTCTTGAGAAGATGGAGGTAATTTGCTTCTATCTCTTTTATCTGTTATCACGGCCTATGTTGGTATTAGGCTGTCTGGCTATATTTTAATAATATTTTATCATATACTTACTTTTGGGTAGCAGGGGTTCCAGATTGAGGCAAGCTTCATCTGAGACTGTGATGTAAGTATGTACACAGAGGTGTGTGGGATAAACTAGTCAGAAAAGTCGAAAATGAGTTTTTGGGGATTTAATGAATTCAGGGATTTAATGAGAGATTTTAGGGTTGTGGAGAGGGACATACATGTCCTCAGTAAAACAGCATGGAAACTTTTAAAGAAATTTTTGTCTCCATCGTCTCATGAGTATGAGCTTATGAAAAGGGACTGGACCTAGAACCCTGGGAAAAGAATTATCTCCACCAGATGTTTTTATGCACATTTGCCTATGCATAATGCATTGTATTAGAGAAATTCTTTCTGTATTGAATTAAACATTTATACATGCTTACCATGTACCAGGAACTTATCTAAGCAATTATTGTCTGAGCAATTATAACTTTGCATATCTAAATTAAGAAAAGGTATGATCTTATTTCTGTTTCTACCTAGGATTTAGAAAGCTGCAAAAAGTATTTTTCCCACACTAATGATGAGAAAAGGCTGAATAAGCTATAACATCATACATTTTCTGGAACTCATTAGTGATCTGTGGGCATAAGGCAACCCACTTGCCTGAATTCCAATTAAGGACATGCCATTCTTAGGCAAGAAAAGACATACGGACCGTCTCACCTGTGGCAGAGCACAGAAAGAACATTGAATTTTTCCTCAAAACCCTACAAAGTAAGTACTATTGTTTACTCCAAGGTCACACAGTAGGTAGGTGGTGCAGTCAGGATCTCAACCCTCTTAGTTTGGCCTCATCCTCCCTCTGAGCCACTATGCGATGCTGCTTCTGTCGTCCTTACCAGCACCTCAACCCAGTACCCAGAGGAAAAGATTTAGAATGAAGATTGACGCCAGTGCTCCTGAACCTTTTCCCTTGTATCTGATCCCATAGTGTGTGAGAAGATTTACATCCGTTGTCTCATATAACACAGCAAGAATAATAACCACAGAGTCAAGGAAAATCAGGAAAAATCCTTGGTCTCCTGGTATAACAACATTCTTTTTACAGCTGAGGAAACAACTCAGAGAGGTTAAGATACTAGTTCAAGACAGAAGGGTAGTAGAGACCCATGAATCTTCTGACTGAGAGAGTGAGTTTGAGGGCTGAGGGAGGCAGATGACAAGGGGTCTGGTTTCTGGGACTGGGGCACAGGAGGACCCCACTCTTTGTTGTATTCAGCCTTTGTGAGATCTGGACCCTACTGGGGTCAAGGGGTCCACTCTACTGATAGTGACACAACAGTCTCAACGGCCTTTGGCCTTGGATCAAGCATAATGAATGATTTTAATGATCTCAACCCCAGGAGATAAGATTGAGAATTAATATTCTAGGTGGGATAAGACTCCTAGAGAGGACAGAGGAAAAATATGTGCAAACTTGTGCTGTGCTGGTCCATGGACTGGAGGAGCACACAAGCTTTTTTGACTTTCTCTCTAGACACTAGCCACCCCTGTCCCTGCTCCTCTGACTAGAGTGACTCTTCCTCCCTCTGTAATGAAACTACCCACTAACCTGATAAACTAGGATAAGGGTGACGAGGACAAGCATCCAGTCATGTCGACCTTCCCCCCTTGGTTGTTTCACACAGTTGAGTTGGGACTTGAAATATCTTTTCTATGAATATCTTTTCTTTTCTCAGTATGGCAGAACAAATGTTAATGTGGGGATCGTGGGCACTTTGGAAAAGGCTCCGGGTTTAAATTCTATCTAATTCACCTGCACTTAGCCTTAGCTTCCTTCTCTATAAAAGTGAGACTGAGAAGTGCCCACATTGAATAATAATTTGGATGTTTAACTGCAGCCTCAGAATGGGCAAGGGAGAGCGTACAGCTTATCCTAAAAAAGGAGGATCCTAACAGCGTTAGTCACTCCATGCAAGCGACTTCCTGTTGTATATGTGTAAACAAAGAGATCAGATTCTGCAAATCAGACCTCACTCATATCTTTCTTACCGCTTGCTCCTGTTGCAGGTACATGTCCTTGAGAATGAGAAGGGGTGGAAGAAGTTGTTGCCTACACAATGGTACTATCCTTCTGACATCTGGTCTGTTGGTTTCACACAGCTTGGTTTGCAGAGTAATGGCAGGGCCTGTGGGGGCCAAGAGCAGCCTGGTGTTTTGTAAAGAGAAGTTCAGATGACACATTGGCAGCCTCCCAACATTGCAGAGCCAGCTTCCTCAACACGAGACCCAGAGAGGAAGGGCTGGATCTCATGTGAAGTGACACCCAGAATTTCTGGCTTAGTGCAAGGTCCACCTTATGAGCCTCAGCTCAGCAATTTCTGGAGGAGACACGACTGAACGCACTCTTCAAGACCCTGCTGAACTCTCTGCATCAGAGGGAAATATCATCATCTAGAAATCTCTCCTCTTCATTAGTTCTTGAGGACATTTGCAAAGGTTGGTGCGGAGACAGCTTTGCAGGTGAGGACTCATGTCAAAAAAATAAAAGATAACCATTTCTTTGTGACATCCTCTCCACCAAAATGACACCATCAAAATGCTCATATTGTGTTATGCTCGGAATATGTTGGCAAATATACCTGATGAAAGGAATAACTTCAATTTAAGAAACATATATCTGCTACCTACTCTGTAAAGGGCAGCTTGTTAGGTACTATGAAAAATTCTTAGAGGCTTCTGATCTGAATTAACAAACAAATGAGGAGAGATTTGGGCGCTTTCTGGAAGTAGGTGGGTGAACGGAGCACTTAATGCGTAGAGGCACTGCAAACATTACCATTTTTAATCCTTCTAGTTAGCTCATAAGATAGGCAGTTTTTTTCCCCTGCATGACTGAAAAGAAGATTGTTCTACTTCAAGTCAAACAGGAAATAAGTTGATAAGAACAAGAACGCACACTAGATTTATTGTTTATTTAAATCATATAATAAACAAACTTATTTTAGAGCTTTCACCTCTATTGCTATTTCCACAATCTATTTTTTTGTTTGTCTGTGTTCTCGTTTAAATTTAAGCCTATCTATGTGGTATATGAACTGTTTTCTGTCCTATATTTTCTCTTTCTATTTTACCACTTTCCCACGTGTCTATAATGTTAATGTCTGAGAGTTGCATCACCCTGATAGATCATATTTTATATTACCTTTGCCTATTGCTGGACACTGGGATTTTGTTCAGTCCTTGCTTATGTTTGTGTGGCTTTATAAAATTCTGTTAGAGTTTTTTCTCTTCTTTTGAGTTGTTTTCTTTGGATTCATTTCTACTTCTGTAATGAATGGGTCATAGGTTCTGAAGTTCACTCACAAGGATGTTGCCTGTGGTCCAATACTGGCAGCTCACAGTGAGTGCATCAGATTTTCTGGAGAATCTCAGTCCCAGTCGTTTTTAGTCCACCCTATTTATTGGGAACTAAGCTTGGTTGTTGGTTTGTGTGTACATCCTTGGAAGGTGGTGCCAAATTCTACACTTCTGAGGAAATGCAGTAATATTACACCCCAGAGATTTGATATCAAACTCTACATTGCATCTTATACTCATGTAACTTCCCTGTGAGTTGTCTTTAGATAAAAGGTAAGATTGGCCTTCAGGAAAACTATATTTTTACAGTCCTAAGACCCTCAGATATAAGATAAGGGTGGCTTTATCCTGGTCTGGACTTTTCTTCAAGGTGTGACTTAGTACAAAGTAGCTGATGTGAATCTTAATAAGCTCAACAGCTATTGTCAAGGTATACCACAGCCTCCATGTTCTGGCCAAGTGGCTCCTCACATGATGACAGAGATGCAAGGAAAAATTAAGCACCTGTTGTTTTCTTCTAATGAATGACAAGAATCTGGGAAGGGGACAGGGGACACTTACATGGAAAAATCAGGAACAGTCACCAGTGTGCACATTGCTGAACATGTTGAAGCAACAGGATCCAAAAATGCAGTGAAATCTTTGGGACCTAGTCCTATTTTTCCATAGACACAAACTAATATTGGCTCCATTTCTGCAAGTCCAACTCTTTCATGACCAACCCAGAGATCCGGTGGTCCTGAAGAGTTAAGCTGAAAAGAAGACCCTGAGGTCCAGTAAGTCAAAGGGAACAGAAAAGAAGTCACAAGGAACCGATGCCTCAGAGCTAATCGTTTAAGTTTGTCAATAACTTCCAGTCAAAGACCATGTGGAACACATCTGTAATTCAGCAAAGTTGGGTTTATTGCCTGTTGCAATAAGAGAGACTGCACACGACTGCGAAATGCGGTGCATCTCAGTAAGAATGTGTCAGGAGGGACTTGACTTAGGTGATTTGGAGAAGGGCTCAAGGATGCATGGCTTTGCTCTGGCTTGGTTACTGTCAGAAAGCATTACAATTTGACTTAGTACTTTTATCCATGAAACAGGAGGAGAGGAGCAGGGGTAAAGAAGGAGCAGCGATTCATTAACTGGGGAGAGGACTATTTGGCCATTTTTGCAGATAAGACTGCTTTCTTGTTTTTTTTCCATGTTCAAACATGATTGTGAAATGGTCTTGTTTCTGACGCATTTCATTATGGCCACAGAGTGACCTTGCCTGATGTTGCTGTTCTGTGAAAGTGTTATGTTTTAGAGGATGCCGTTTTTTCTTTCTCAAATTCATCAAACACCCAAAGTGGAGTAGAGGGCTATTTTAGATAAATGACCTGGGGAGCACAAAGTAGCAAATAAGTATAGACAACAATGACTTTCTACTAACATCTACATTCAGAAATTTACAATCATTTGAGTCTCTCAAGAAGTCATATGGACTGTTTAAAAACAAAAATCAGCACCATTTGTTAAAAAGACTATCCATCTCCATTTAAGTGTCTAGACATTTTTGTACAAAGTTAGCTGAGCACAAATGTCCATCAGTTTCTGAGTTCTCTAATTTACTTCATTGATCTATTGTCTATCGTTATGCCAAGACCACTCTGTCATGATTACTATAGTTTTCTATAAGCCTGAAATTATGTAAGTTGTAGAATCTGTTTGTCACATTATACAAATAAAACTTGGGGTGTTTATGACTAATTTTAATTTATAGATCAATTTGGGGAGAAAATGGTGACATATTAACAGTAATAAATCTTCTCATCTCTTTTTCCCCTCTGTGTATCATTAGGGATAGCTTCCATTCGTGTGTCTTTGACTTTATTCATCTTTTCTTTTGCAGTGTCTAATCGGCTGTTAATCACATTCAATGTATTTTTCATTGTAGATTATTTTTTCATTTTTATAAGCTCCACCTGAGTCTTTTTTATATCTTCCATTTTTCTCCTCATCATGATCATATGTTCCTCCATCTTCTTAAACATGACAAGCAATATTATTATAACTATTTAAAGTCGTTTTCTGCTAGTTATAGCATCTCTGGATTACACTTTCCTACTTCTTTCCATGACTAGCATTTTTTATTGGATGCTAGAAAATGTGAATTATACCCTGTTAGTTGATAGATTTTGTTGCGCTTATTTATAGCGTTGTATTTTGTTCTGGTGCACAGTTACGTTACTGGAATCAGCTATAGGAATTTTTCCACCTACTCCTTTCCGGTGGTTCCTTTCCTAGGATGAAGTCTAAGGTGGTTTCCCTTACACAGATCAATAATGAGCCAAAGACTCTAGGAGATCACTCTTCCCTGAAGATCTCCAGATCTCTCTCTTTGCTTTCTTTCTCCATGAAGCTCTATCCTGGCCTCCCCAAACTCCAATCTCTGTATGCTCAAGTCAGTAAGACCCCTGTGCTCTGGTCAGGTTCCATCTCCTGGAGCTGCAGCCTGAACACTGTCCTCAAAAAATAAGCTGATGCAATCAATACACTCACCTTTTCTGCTCTCCTTCTCTCAGGGATCATAGTTCTGCACTACCTGAAGTCCACCATGTGAAAACCGTTGTTCTAAAATCACAAAGTTACCAAGTTCTGGCCTGGAATGTGGCACCTCAGGCACAGCCACTTTTTTTTTTTTTTTTTT